AAGGGACTTATTTAATATCATCAATAATAAAAATTATGAATTGAATTGAATATGAGGATGGAATATAAAGTAACAAATTCTAGGAAGAAAAATAAATCATTTAAATTAAACATGTATTTGGAGATGCACTTACGCCAGTTAATTTTTCAGGAAGGTAAGTAGCTTAAAGTAATGACTATTAATGGTAAACATATTTGTAGTTACGTGATAGATATTTGTAATCCTCTAAAATCTAACATAATGGTCACAGAGCTCTATTCTAGACAATATACTTCTTTTTGCATATGCCTCTTAGGTTATAAAAAGTACACCTGTAGTTCATCAAAATGTGCCCCAAGGCACAATACCATTTTACTCAGTCATTAGAAAGTTTAGCATAATTGCTTAGCATAATCCAAAGAAAATATGAGTACTGACATCAGGGACTCTCCAATTTGTTAGGCAATTGTTCCATAATTTTTGGCACCAAGATAATCCACATGTTGAAAAAGCAATTAATCATTGGTGTTAGTTATCAAGTTATGATTTTAGCTGTTTCCTCCCCAAATTGACCCGAAATGACAGAGTTCCTTATTTCATTTTGTAATATTCTGACTTCAGAGATCAAAAGTTTAAGTATGCCAGTCTGGTTACAGTTGACCTGAGTTTTGTGTTAATTAGTTTTCTGAAATAAGTAGATCATAACTTGATATTTACAAAGATGAATGGTATTAATTTCACTAATATTTGGGTAAAAGGTTTAGTGACCTTTAGAAACTTACAGATTGATTACCTCAGAAGAAGTTATTTGAAGTCCTTAAACTAGCATTTTGGTCCCAAAAAGATAAATTTATTTGCTGTAGGAACTTGTGTTGAAAATAGGCCAAAACAAGAGAACACACAGATTTTAAATTTTCTAATATTTTGCAAATACAATGACATAGCCACTTCAGTCATTAAGCAGTGAATGAAATAATTACCTCACCATAATTTTAACATAATCATCTTTTACTTATACCATAAGGATGAGTAAAAATAAGAGCCATCATTCTGTGTAGTATATTTTCCTATCTTCAAAAACCACCGTCCCACAACGAACCCCCCTCTCCCCCCTGCATTGCTCAACAATGCATGTGTCTTTGGAATTCATAGTTAAAACAATCCAGAAATATAGAAAGAAACCTTGGAACTCAACAGTCTGTGTTCAGTTCAGTTTATTCAGCTACGTGTGGATACAGTGCAGACTTAGCAATATAAATGAAGTCTTCTCTGCATGCATGACTTATGCATCTGTACCTCATCACTCACAGAAGTTTTTGGAAACTCTGAGCCTCTGCAGTATGTAGCACTCCAACTCCCAAACAGTTTCTCTGATTCATTGTAAAGTTACTATGCTCCTGCCCCTCTGTGTTTATTTTCAAGTGGCTGCACTATTGGGTAGTTTATTATTCTATTGTGCAATGCAGTGATTTTTCAAAATCCTGAATACTAACTAGGTAGTCATACTAATTTATGACAACAATCTTCAGACTACATCCCTCAAGTGGAGTGTGTGATGTTTAGTTTCAGAGCTTATCCACATTCAGAGACAATGGAGCACAAACAGCGCGTCTTTCTGTTGGCCTGTTTTTGGTAGTACTACTGATTTAAAAGTAACAACTTGTGTGGTGTCTTCTTGTTAACCAATAAATAAAACATGTAGAATGAAGTGCTCATGTAACCTAAAAATGGTACTAAATGCATCCATTCTCAACAATATAAATAAGTTAATGTTGAATTGTTTGCAACTGATTTCTCTCTCCATCTCTTCTCCAGCCCATGTTTCTGGCTCTAGTTTTATTACGCGGACATTGGGATTAAGTTTTTGATAACGATTGACATTTCCTGTATATTATCACCAAGGAGCTTGAGAAATTATCTCTGAAACAAGTTGAAAGTGTACAAAAAACAGACTTCCCTTAGAAAATGGCCTATTCAGCTCCTGAATAGCTCAAGGCTGTAAGATAATACTTTGCAGGGAAAGGTAACCCCAATTCATTAGTTTCTGAATAATGGCTGCCAATTGAAGCTTGATTTCCTAAAATCTCAATATAAATTGGAGTACTTATACCAAAAGTGGTCGTAACAGTACATTAAAATTTAGAGATACTTTAAAATTATTTGTAAAGGATCTTGCTTTTTAATAAAGTAGCTACATTTACAATACAATACAAATGTGCCCTGGCCTGTGTGACTCAGTTATTTGGGCCACTTCTGTGCACTGAAGGGTTGCCCATTGATTCCATCAGGGTGCAAGCTCGGGTTGCAGGCTCAATCCCCAGTAGGGGGCATGCAGGAGGCAGCTGACTGATGATTCTCCTCCCCCCTCCCCGCCCCTCTAAAAAAAAAATCAGTAAAAAAAATGCAATGCTCCTTTCTGCTATTTTCGCGTGGGCTGAGACAATGAGTAGAGGTACATTGATGTCTCTGTAATATCCACTTAACCTCTCAATGTGTGGTAGTTATTTGGGTATTGACCCTACTCCCAGCTCCAGGGGTGGCCGTTAATTGGTCTAATGCAGTCACTATATATAATCCAAGGGATGTGCTCATTACTCAAGTTAGACTAGTCAGAGTGAAGTGGGAACCTTATTTTGACCATCATGAGCAGCTATGTCCCCCTCACTGCATGGTGTGGTATGCAGCCAGTTTGGCAGAATCTGCTTTAGGTTTAGTCAACATGTGTAGGGCAGAGCTGAGAAGAAAACTAATCCAACTGTGCCTAAGCCAAATTTGATTCTGGACTCTGGAGTTAGGTGAGCCAAAAATTCTTACTGTTTAAGCAACTGGTTGTGTTACTTTTGTTGTTATAGGCATTTTCCATCACACCAGATGTCTCTTAAAAAATTTTTTTATCTTTATTGTAGAAAGTATTATAGATGTCCCCTTTGTTTTCACACCAAGATGTCTTGACTAGGTTACAAATGTCAAATTAAATATGGATAATTATATTCTAGTCCTGGAATGAAAAATGCCAATATGTTTTCACAGTGACTTCAATTACTCCTCTTTCATGTCAGAACCTTAACTATTCAATCATGTCTGTCAGAGAAACCTCAACAAGCTTGTGAATGTTCCTGAGTGACTCGGTATGGTGTTGGGTGTCGCTGAAGGCTGTGGCAGTCAATACAGATTTTGGCTGCTTGTTGGGGGCAACCAGATTTTCTTAAAAGGGCACAGAAATGGAGGTCAGCTTGAGCTATCTGAAACTGGGGTGGCTGCTTTTACTTAAAGGGATATAAAGTGAGACCAAAACGCTAATGTATCATTAACTGAGAAAGTATTTGGTTACTAATGGTACCTGGCTTCCTCATCTTGCCAAAGACCATCTCATTGCTAAATCTAATGGAAAACTTTTAGGCTTTGCTTTCCTTGACTTCTTGGCAGCATATGAAGGCAAATTACTTCCGAAAGTTTTACTTCTGTGCTTTATTCAGTGATCTCTTCTTCCTCTGCCATTTTAAAATTTGATGTTTCCTTGATTTGTCTTGGGTCTTCTGCTCACTCTTCATTTGCCACAGGTCATCTCATCTGCTTCCACCCAGCCATTACCCCCAAATCTCTTAACAGAATGCACTTAGAAACCTCAATCAAACACTTCAACATTTCTGCTGTTTAAGGCACTTTAACTCCCCATTGTTGTTAGGACAGTGATGGCAAACCTTTTGAGCTCGGCGTGTCAGCATTTTGAAAAACCTTAACTCTGGTGCCGTGTCACATATAGAAATTTTTTGATATTTGCAACCATAGTAAAACAAAGACTTATATTTTTGATATTTATTTTATATATTTAAATGCCATTTAACAAAGAAAAATCAACCAAAAAAATGAGTTCTCGTGTCACCTCTGACACGCGTGTCATAAGTTTGCCATCACTGCATTAGGATGATCCAAAAGGCTCCTGCAAGGGTCTACCCTCATCTTACCTATTAGTCATCTCTCGCCACTCCCCACATTCTACTTGACACTCAAGCCTAACCGAATCTCAGTTCTTGAAGGTTCTAAAGTTCTTGCTCTCTGCCTCTGGCCTGCCACACATTGCTGTAGTCTCTGCCAGTAGAAGTAATTACTTCCCCATTATGCTTTTTCTGGTTAGTCCTCCATTAAAATTCCAGCCTAATGTCAGGCAATCCCTTCAGTAAGCTTACCTGGGTAACTCCACTCTGGGGTAAGTGTTTTTCTTGAGTTCCCCAGCTCACTTTATTTCTCCCTTCACAGCAATATGCTTTGGTTATTGTTAACTAAGTTCTGCAAGGACAGTGGTCATGTCTCTCTTGCTCAGAATATCTCCAGAGAGTAAAACTGGGCCTGGTTCAGTAGGGCACTTGGTGAATTTTTGAAAGACTATATATCCTGTGCTAGACTCTGTCTCAAGTAACTTATTTGATTTTCCTGAAAAACACTGTATTAAATTGTTTTTACTAGTGGGCTATCAAAAGGAGGTCCTCAAATAACACTGCTTTATTCAGCGCTATTTCATTTTAATGTTGATGAGATGCTCTAGGAACTTAACTCTTGTTTATATCAATTATCCTGTCGTAAAATTGGTTTCATTGGTTTCCCTGTAGTTTTAAGGACCTTCAGTAAGGACTTAATGTATAGGCAAGTTGAAAATAGCTCTGATAATCAGGATGGCAAGTGAAATGCTGAAATTCTTTGACTAATTTAGAAAGGCAAGACTCTTTAAAAAAGAGGTTCTGCCCTGGCCGGTGTAGCTCAGTTGGTTGAGTGTCGTCCCATGCACCGCAAGGTCGTAGGTTTGGTTCCTGGTCAGGGCACATACCCAGGTTGCGGGTTCAATCCTGGGTTGGGGTGTGTCTGGAGGTACCCGATCAATGTTTCTCTCTCTCTCTCTCTTAAAAAAACAACCCAAAAGCATATTAAAAAAAGAAAGATTCTAATATTTCTTTTCCTCAATTCTAGAATATTAAAGAATACTAGAAAAATGTTGTAACCCCTCCCACAAAACAATGAAAGAACAATTTCATTTTAAGGACTTTTATTACAGGATGTTAATATATTCAGGACACTTCAGAGCACCTTATACTTCTAATCAGATTTTTGGTAACTGTTTTTAAAGTGTTACTTGAGTATTTTTCTCACACTGGCTTTCAGGCAAAAGTACTACTTAGTGATTGTTTAAGAGACGTTAATTTGATTAAACAGTTTATCCTTAATAACCTGAGACATCAATCCATGGATAGCTTCTATGGTCGTCTTACAGCTGGAAAGAAAAAACACATTACATAATGTCACAAGACCTGAAAAGTGGTTCAACTGTACAAGCCCCCTCCTTTCCATTGCTGAACCCCCAATAATGGTCTTCAGTTCTATTCATACTCCCTTAAACATACCAATTAATAGTTTACTCTCGTTATTTTTAGTCTCCTGCATGTCTTTTGACCATTTCACTACTTATGAGCACCTTCACAAGGAATAACAAAGTGAAATTTGATAGAATTCATAACAGTTAATTTTGTTACGTGTCAGCAGCTTTGGGAAAAGTTTTGTTTTAGAAGGTGACTAACATATATAATTCATAATTATATTGATTCCAATATTACATTAAAATCTATCATTCCTTTCCTTGTCGTTTTTTACTTAGAATGATTTTAAAAATGATTTTAAAGAATCCTATGCTTTTTTCCTGAAATAAACACAAACATCCTTCAAAGAATTAAAAGTCAAAGTTAGTTCAGTGGGTAAAGGACTCAGATTTTAGAATTTATAATAATAAAAGCGTAATATGCTTCATAAGAAACTGAGATGTAAATGTAGTTAAAATTACAAATCACAGACTTATAGAGACAGATGAGGAAAATACTAGTACACACTTATAGCAAATACCAAAACTGAGACCTAATGTCAAAGGAAAACGTAATTCTTTCCCAGGCTATTAGCTCTATCTATACCTGCTGAAAACCCATGGAAAAGAAAGGAATGAGGTAATTCTAACCCAATGGGGCTTCTGCTCCTAATACACATTGTCTTCCCTTCTCCTTTCCACCCAGCAGTCCAGTTTTTCTTAAAAGGGATACCAAAGTTTCGGTTTATACAGATGTCAACATGCTTTTCCCTTCCTTTCTGCTCCTAATTATCATATTAAAATTCAAAATTTTGTGAAAGTAAATGTTATTTAGGTAGTCTTTCCAATCCTGTATGCATCTGCAGGGCCACATAATTATTTCCTAAGGTATCAGGGAACATATCCCAAGTTTGTTTCTAACAAATCTTGGTAGTGAAATTTGGGATACTAAACAAAAGATTATTTCAGGAGAATAACAAGGGAGATATAATCATTACTGTGCTACTTAGGGTTTAAAACTTTATAAAAATTTGAAATTTAATAAATTTAATAAATCTTACTTTAATTCCTAGAAAATAACTAGGTTAGAATGGATTAAGACATACTTTTGCAAAAGCTTTAAAAAAAAAAAAAGATTCAATGATTAGCCCTAGCTGGTTTGGCTCAATGGATAGAGTGTTGGCCTGTGGACTGAAGGGTCCTGGGCTAGATTCCGATCAAGGGCACATACCCACGTTGCCAGCTCTATCCCTAGTAGGGGGTGTGCAGGAGGCAGCTGATCAATGATTCTCTGTCATCATTGATGTTTCTCTCTCTCCCTCTCCCTTCCTCTCTGAAATCAATAAAAAAATATTTTAAAAAAGGAAAGAAATCTCACAATGAACTATAGAGAAAACATCAGTACAGATGCTTCATTAAAAAAAAAGATTCAGTGATTGATTGGTTTCTTTGGTTACTTTCTAGCTGAACCTAGGAAAGGTGTGACTGGGAGTGTTTCATAACATTACCTAGACCTTTAAGCTTTTAACGTTCTTATCTAAAGTCTCCTAAATTTTCAAAGTTAAATTCTGCCTTCAACAATTCTTAAAGGTCCTGAGAAGTTAATATTCAGCCACTAACTCTAAGTTATAAGTAAGTTAAACCATAAGGAATTTGAGTCCTATTATTATTTGCAAATCTGGAAACAAAAAGAGGGACAGGAATAGATCTGCTTTTACCTGTCTCGAGTAGCTTTGGCAAGTTTGTCTTCTGACTTTCGGTCGTGTGTTTCTAAACCCAACATGAAACTCCCTCGTCCCAGCTGAGCTTCTGACTGTTCTAATTTTTCAGACAAATCAAAGACCTGGCCGGTGGTATAGTCTGCATTCTGTGGGGAAAATGATATTGTTGCAGTGTATGATACAAGTCTGCCATTAGATAATTTTAACATAAAATAATTTTCTTCAATATCGAACATTTCATTTACAAAGAATTCCACTATGAGGCAGCTCTCTGAGCAGCCTGCTGGAAGTTTCTCTTGGAGTGTCCTTTCTCTTTGCTTGTCCAAATAAATCTTCTCTAGTGAAAAACAAAAACAAAAACAAAGAATTCCACTATGAAAATCTAAGTGGATAGTCAGTGAATTATTTGTTATAGTAAGAGGCTTTCACAGATCTGAGCCCAGGTTCTGGTTCTGCTGCAGATTAGTTAGGAGGCCTTGAGAGAGTGCCTTTACTTTTCTATGCCTTTAAGTCTTCATCTTAGGATGGTCTATGGTACCTGGCCAAGCCTTAATAACTGTTAGCTAATTTTGTTATTTGTTCTTGTTCAACTTCCAGAATTAGTATTATGACAATATTTAAATAACATTGTTCTAGCTTTCCTGATAATAAAATTAACAGCTTTGCAGAAAATGTAGAGCAATATAAAGAAGACAAGAAACATATACTCCCTCCACCTTGCTCTAACCAGAGTTATATTTTAGAGCAGCAGTCGCCAACCTTTCGGACCTCACGGAACACCAGTAGTCCACGGACCACCAGTTGGCGACCGCTGCTTCAAAGGTTTCCTTAACCAGTGGTCGCCAACCTTTCGGACCTCACGGACCACCGGTTGGTGACCGCTGTTTTAGAGTATTGCTATATTTTCACAATGCACAGCTATATTTGGTAAGCTGGAATATATACAGGGTGGGGCAAAGTAGGTTTGCAATTGTTCGTATGGAAAAAGAATTGCAGGTTATGATTATAACAACAGCAAATAAACTGTGTTTGCACAACCGTAAACCTACTTTGCTTTGCCCACCTCTATATAAACCATTTTGTCCAATTTCACACTTTTCAAAAAGAAAATTATAGTTATATATATATGCTTAACTGAAATATTTTAAAAGATTTTTAGGCACATCTTTTTGAAAATGTGTCTAAAATAAAAAAAAACTTTCATGAAGATGAGTTAAGAAGTATATAGTCAGTCCATTTCTTTCCTATATTTTCAATAGAAGAGCATGAAGATTTAATAAACTTGGCAACAATTGGTGTGTTATCCTGATTGCTCAGTTTACAAGACAGTGTACAGAAAATACAGTTCAATCACCAAACATGAAAAGTTATTTGCTGCCATCATAGTTACTACAGAAGGCCCTTTAAAATGCTACCAGCAATTCAATTTTACAAACTTATATTTTTAAGGAAGCAATTATATTCACTTTGTCTGGATCTAAATGGTTTAGGACACCACCACCACCACCACCACCGTCCCCTGCCTCAAGTTTGGAGAAAACCCTCAAGTTTATGACCACTTCATATTTGGAAGATTAGTTCAAGCCATGAAAATGTAGGAAGGCAAAAATAGTTATAGTATTAAAATGAAATAAAATGACATCAATTACATTTCAGACACACAATAATTTCATAGAGGACTAATTTCTTAAATCAGAAAATTATTTTTTTCTGGTAGTTTTTAGATTACATGCTTTAGCTGGGGAAATAGAGTTGAACATATATTTATATATTTTTTTTCTTAAAAATGCTGCAATGTACTATATATAAAACTACAAGGAAGGAAGAAATATAATTAAACCTTTTCTTGCTTATTAATGTCCTCAATATATGCAGTGCTGTAATACAGGGACGCCAAAGCCTGAATAAGTAAGTCTGCCTTCACACAAAGGTTCAGGCTGCTATGGTCTTAATGTTTTCTCCCTTGCTACCATGTGTCACTTCTGGCTGCTGTGAGTACACTTGCCTCTAAGGAAACAAAACATAGAAAGCATTTAGCAGTGTTTAGCGTTAGGAAGCTCTTAATAAAAGTGTGCTGTTATGGTCACTCTCCTTTCTTCTAATATGCTACTTCTGACTGTGGAGGATAAAAAATAAGAACAGAAAACTTGCCAGAATTGTGTTTAAAGTTATAGTAAATATGCTCAAGTGGGGTCTTTTCCTCTGAATACAACAAACCAAATAACAACAAAAAAAATAACTTACTGAGGCTTTATTATATGCCAGACACTTTGCTAACTGCTTTATATAAAGTATTTAATTAATTCTCAATGTACTTACTGATGTGGGTACTAATATCATTGAACCCAAGAAAGGCTCAATCACATTAAATAACTTTCTGAAGGTCAAACATTGCTAGTAAAGTGGCAGAGTTGTTTGAACTGAGTTAATTTTATTCCAAATTTTGTGGTTCTAAATATTATGCTAAATTGTACTATATGAAGTGGCTATCTTTTTTTTCTTTTAAGTAAAAAACAAAATAAAACAAAAAATAAACTGTTCCTGGCTAAGCTATAGATAGCATAGTTAGAAGCTTCTTAAATAAATATCCTTCTTGCCCTAGCCAGTTTGGCTCAGTGGACAGAGCGTCGGCCTGCGGACTGAAGGGTCCCAGGTTCAATTCCGGCCAAGGGTACATGCCTGGGTTGCAGGCTCGATCTCCAGTAGGGGGCATGCAGGAGGCAGCTGATCAATAATTCTCTCTCATCATTGATGTTTCTCTCTCTCTATCCCTCACCCTTCCTCTCTAAAATCAATAAAAACATACTTGAGGAAAAAAAATAAAATAAATATCCTTCTAAGTATATTAGGTTTTAATGATAATATTGAGAAATATTCAGCAACTTTTTCGCCTAACATCTGCTGCTTTAAGGTAATGATATTCTGATTTCCTTCTGGGACAACCCTTTCCTCATTCTTAGTCCGTGTGCTCCTAGAACAGTTTCTTCTACCCCAGCCCACTAGTTAATCACTTGGCCCAGATCTGTCACATGGACATGTGACTTAAGCAAAGCCCAGACACAAAGCCCTGGGGAAGAGAGGGAGAGAGACAGAGAGGGACATTGGGAGAAAGGAGGAAGGAGCGGGAGAGTGTGTATGTATCTTGATCTTCTCTTTTTAACATAAAACTGAGAGGCTAGAAGGTCTGAGGCTAATGCTGCCATCTTGCTTTCACATGAAGCCTGAAACTGAAATGAAATCAAAGCCGAGAGAGAAGGACCAAGCTCTCATAATACTGTTTGCATGCAAACTTAGCTGAAGCTGAACTATGCCTTACTCCTCAACTTTGCAGCTCACGTGATTCTCTTTTTTGTTTAAGCTAGTTTGGCTGGGTCTTCTGTCACTTGTAACTTGAGTCCTACCTGAAATACCCAACACAATACAAAAAACAGTATTTGTCTTTTCCTCTATGTCTCTTTATGGTAGGGGCAGATCTGATCCTCATCTGGGTACTGTATTTGCCATTTAGACTTGGTCTTAATAGTACACGACACAGACCTTTGCTTGGACTATTATCCTAATCCAACTCTGGTCATGCAGAATATGCTGTCTGCTGTCTGCTGTCTTGGCCAAATCAGGTGTAGCTACTCCATGAAAAAGAGTTTCAGGTATTAAGCATCTTATGTAGCCTAGATAAAACTCAAACCCATCCCTTGAAATTATAGTACTTACGGTAAGCAAGCTAGAGGAACTCAGCGTATTCACCCAGTATTTATTCCACAAAAGCTCAAGCAATTTGCGATCCAAGGAGGACTTGAAATATGATACTTCTAAGGCATAATATCTATGAAACAAAAGCACAAATTTAGTAAGAAAAAAAAAAAACACCTCAACCATCTATATATATGAATGCCTAAGTGACCAGCTGACTGGCTGACTGTCCGGTAGTTATGACATGCAATGACCACCAGGGGGCAGACGCTCAATGCAGGAGCAGAAACCACAGGCATGGAAACATGGAACAGACAGATGAATCTCAGAGGGAGGGGGAGGGGTGGCGGGAGGGCGGGAAGAGATTAACCAAAGATCCTATATGGGAGGATGCACCAGGGGGGTCCCTCGGCCTGGCCTGTGGGGATTGGGCTGAAACCAGCTCTCTGACATCCCCTGAGGGGTCCCAGATTAAGAGAGGGTGCAGGCTAGGCCGAGGGACCCCACTGGCCTCTAGTATCATATAAAAGTTATAACCAAATTTAAGTGAATTATATTTTATATCCAAATAGTAATGTTTTAGTTTTTAGTCCAATAGAACATCAGATAATCATGGTTTCTTTACCCTTCAGGGGATGGTTTCAAAATCTGCTTAATAAACTTTCTTGTGTTATATTTTTTCTTTCTGTAGAGCTCAGAAATTCCCAAGAAGTTATCAACAACCAATCAGAATTTCAGAGTGACATATATTTATTCATGATATTGAGTTTATTAGTTCCAGACAATAGCACATAAGCTTAATGAACTGCCTGTCTAGGGTCAGGTATAATTTTGTTAGGCTTTTAAAAATACTGAAAACGACTTGTGGATTCCCCATTCTTCCCATTCGAATCCGCTAAGTAGGACCTACTGCTGTTTGGAAAGTAAACTATAAAGCAGGTCCTTAAAGCACCTAAAAGAATTACTATTGCCGAAACCGGTTTGGCTCAGTGGATAGAGCATTGGCCTGCGGACTGAAAGGTCCCAGGTTCGATTCCGGTCAAGGGCATGTACCTGGGTTGCGGGCACATCCCCAGTAGGAGATGTGCAGGAGGCAGCTGATCGATGTTTCTCTCTCATCGATGTTTCTAACTCTCTATCTCTCTCCCTTCCTCTCTGTAAAAAATCAATAAAATATTTAAAAAAAAAAAAGAATTACTATTGCTTCCAAAGGTACCTAATTTATAATCAGGGATAGCAAAGAAAATTTGCTTAAATGTCTGAGAAAACATATACTTCCATGAAGTTCACATTCTAATGAGGTCGATAACAAGGAAGCAAAACATATCAGATGGTGTCAAGTGCTAAGAAAAATAATGCAGGAAAGGGAACACTGCAACAGGAAGGTGCTATTTTAGATAGGGTGACCAATGAACATTCTCTGTTAAGGTGACCCTTAATCAGATAATCAGTGAGTGAAGTAGTTAGTGAGCCTCATGGAAAAAAGGAAGAATGTTCCAGGCAGAGGACACAACAAGTGCAAAGGCCCTAGGCAGGAGCCTGCCTGGCATGTCTGACATACCATAAAGAGGCCACTGTTCCTGGACTGCAGAGAGCAAAGGTTTAGCGAGAGGAGATGAGCTCAGAGAGGTTGCAGGGGCCAGACCACACAGGGCTGTGAGTGCCATGGTGAGGAATATGGATTGTATTCTTGGTGAGAAGGGAAGTCATTCTGAGGTGGAACATGATTTGACTTGGATTTTAACAGAATAAGTTGGGGGATAAAAGACCTTTAAGGGATAAACGGCAGGAGGAGGAAGACTAGTGAGAAGGCCAGTGCTTTGGTTCAGGCTCCACACAGCTTGGGGCAAGATGACAGCAAGAGAGGTGGCAAGATACATTTAGAAGGTGGAGAAAACTGTCCTCTTGGTCTCTTTAACGCTTCTGAAATTGAGATGTAACTCACATACCTTAAGATTCACTATTTTAAAGAAGTATACAATTCAGTGGTTTCTAGTATGGCTTCTTTAACTTTTGGAGTGAAAATGTAGCAAGAATTTTTGCTAGATGGAACCTGGGTACTTTGAGGTTGCAGACAGGCTAGTGTCAGCTTGGCCCTGAATATAACTTCTTTTAACTGTTAATTTCATTAACAGACCAAGTATCTTATACACTGATAAAATGTTTATGGTTGTGTGAAAAACAAATAATGTTAGACTAAAACAATTATTAATAAAAAATTCAAATATGATCCTAAATTTGTACATTCTTACTATTATTTTAAAAGATATTATGAAATGCATTTTGTCTGAACCTTTATTCTCATCTGTAAGGGGCTTGGACTGTACGATCGCTAAGGTTTCTTATAAGGTCTCTGGCATCAGATGCATTTTAAAATTACTTACTGTTTGCAGTGTACACCAAAATCTTCTATTTTATTCAGTGGGATAGTCTGGTACTCAGAAGGGCCTTCATCAGGAGGTTTGTATCCCTAAACAAAAATGAAGAAAATAAAAGATTAAAAAAAAAATCAAACCAGAGGAAAAATATTTTTTAAAAATATTTTTTATTGATTTTTTACAGAGAGGAAGAGGAATAGAGAGTTAGAAACATTGATGAGAGAGAAACACCGATCAGCTGCCTCCTGCACACCCCCAACTGGGGATGTGTCCGCAACCAAGGTACATGCCCTTGACTGGAATCGAACCTGGGACCCTTCAGTCCACAGGCCGATGCTCTATCTACTAAGCCAAACCGGTTAGGGCGGAAAAACATTTTTATATGCAGGTTTCTATTTACAGAAGCATTAATTTTGGGGAGCCAAATATTGAACATAAACATTCTAGCAATAAAAATGTGTATTGCTTATACCCTCCCTCAACCCCGTTTGGTGGCTCAAGACTGGATTTGCCTTATATTCATTTTTTTTATCCTTTAGTGATGTATACTTGTGCTAATATCTATTTTAGATTGCAGGGAAGGAAATAGATGTACTTCTCTTGTTTCTCTAGTGCCTGTCAGGATACCATGGGCACACAAACACTTATTAACAAATGAAGACTGCTTTTCTAATAAAATTAACTATATAAAGCACAAATGTATTGTCTTCTGTTAAGGACAATTAGTGCTAAGGACAAGTTGACTGCTATTTTGTAAATATTATTGTTTTAGGACAAAACAAGATACTAACCATAACATATCTTTAAAAATAAGTCAAATATTCAGCATTTAAAAAGTTATACTGATGCCGAAACCGGTTTGGCTCAGTGGATAGAGCGTCGGCCTGCGGACTGAAAGGTCCCAGGTTCAATTCCGGTCAAGGGCATGTACTTGGGTTGCGGGCACATCCCCAGTAGGAGATGTGCAGGAGGCGGCTGATCAATGTTTCTCTCTCATCGATGTTTCTAACTCTCTCTCTTTCTTCCTCTCTGTAAAAAATCAATAAAATATATTAAAAAAAAAAAGTTATACTGATCGGAGAAACCAAGATAGCGGCATAGGTAAACACCGGAAATTGCTGCCTCCCACAACAACTTCAAAAAATACAACTAAAAGATGGAACGGACATCATCCAGAACCACAGGAAGGCTGGCTGAGTGGAAATTCTACAACTAGAAGGAAAGAGAAAAGCATACCGAGACTCAGAGGAGGTGCGGTGCGGGAGTAAAATACAGAGGTACAGGGGCGCACGCGGAGAGGGCTGGCGGCTGAGGACACGGTTGTCTTTTTCAATCGGGAGGGAATCTCAAGCTCTGAGCTCCAGTTCAGGGCCAGTCTCTGGGGACCCAGACTCATACGGGAGAAACTGGACTGTCTAGCATCGGTTGTAACTCGAGGGCAGCTTTCTCTCAGAGGTGCTTGCAGCGATTGCTGGGACACTGAGAAGCGGGGCCTCTGAGGGCAGGACTGAGAGCAGCCATAACTGCTCGCTCCGCCCTGTTGATCCCCTGGGACCCCGCCCCGCCATAGCACCTCCTTAGAGATCCAGGAGCCAGTGTGCCCGGTGGTCAGAGTGGGACCATCCAGATTGCAGCTCCTCGGATCCATAAAGGACACACTCAGGGGGCAGACTCAGTGACCACCAAAGCCCCATTGAAGCAAGTCTTGCCCCAGAAGGGTGTCTCCAGCACAGAAGTTCTCCCACTGCAGACACAGCTGATTCTCACAGCCAATTGGCCTGGAGGTCAATCCCTCCCAGTGTTACCTACAACAATCAAGGCTTAACTACAACAAGACTGTGCACAAAGCCCACAAGGGGGTGCACCAAGAGTGTCTACCTCAGGTAATTGGGGAGGCTGAGCCACTGGGCCCTATAGGACACCTAGCACACAAAGCGACTCTACCAACACAGGGAAGCATAAAAAATGCAGAGACAAAGAAACAGGTCACAAATGACAGAAATGGAGGAAAGCAAACTACTGGATATAGAGTTCAAAACCACACTTTTAAGGTTTTTCAAGAATTTTCTAGAAACCGCCAATAAACTTAATGAGACCCTCAAGAAATCTAATGAGACCCTCGAGGTTGTGATAAAGGACCAACTAGAAATTAAGCATACATTGACTGAAATAAGGAATATTATACAGACTCCCAACAGCAGACTAGAGGATCGCAAGAATCAAGTCAAAGATTTGAAATACGAAGAAGCAAAAAACACCCAACCGGAAAAGCAAAATGAAAAAAGAATCCAAAAATACGAAGATAGTGTAAGGAACCTCTGGGACAGCTTCAAGCGTACCAACATCCGAATTATAGGGGTGCCAGAAGATGAGAGACAGCAAGATATTGAAAACCTATTTGAAGAAATAATGACAGAAAACTTCCCCTACCTGGTGAAAGAAATAGACTTACAAGTCCAGGAAGCGCAGAGAACCCCAAACAAAAGGAATCCACAGAGGACCACACCAAGACACATCATAATGAAAATGCCAAGAGCAAAAGACAGAGAATCTTAAAAGCAGCAAGAGAAAGACAGTCAGTTACCTACAAGGGAGTACCCATACGACTGTCAGCTGATTCTCAACAGAAACTTTGCAGGCCAGAAGGGAGTGGCAAGAAATATTCAAAGTGATGAATAGCAAGAACCTACAACCAAGATTACTTTATCCAGCAAAGCTATCATTCAGAATTGAAGGTCAGATAAAGAGCTTCACAGATAAGAAAAAGCTAAAGGAGTTCATCACCACCAAACCAGTATTATATGAAATGCTGAAAGGTATCCTTTAAGAAGAGGAAGAAGAAGAAAAAGGTAAAGATATAAATTATGAACAACAAATACACATCTATCAACAAGTGAATCTAAAAATCAAGTGAATAAATAATCTGATGAACAGAATAAACTGGTGATTATAATAGAATCAGGGGCATAGAAAGGGAGTGGACTGACTATTCTTGGGGGGGAAAGGGGTGTGGGGGATGCGGGAAGAGACAACAAAAATCATGCACCTATGGATGAGGACAGTGGGGGGGGGGGTGAGGGCGGAGGGGGGGGTGGGAACCGGGTAGAGGGGAGCTATGGGGGGAAAAAAGAGGAACAACTGTAATAATCTGAACAATAAAGATTTAATTAAAAAAAAAAAGTTATACTGACTTGTAATTTTTAAAATTACCTTTGGGTATGTCCTAAAGGCTCCAAGATTCACTTTCCCTGCAGATATTGTTCTTGTTGGATCAATCTACAAGAAGGATATATTTAATATCTGCCAATTATAAAATCATTAGATACTTGCATTTGTTTAAACACTTTAAACCTAGAAATATATATCTACATGTAACACTATACACACACACACACACACACACTAATTAAAATAATCAAATAACAGGAAAAAAATAACAAACTAAAAATCTATTGAACATAAAAGTTCAATGAAGTGGTAAGTATAGAAATGTCTTATAGCTAATTTAGAAATTAGATATAATTAGTATATTATTTAAGAATATTATTTGAAGATTCGCTTCTTTTTCAAAATTATTTTTTTCTTTTAGATGAATAATTCCTGCCTTCCTCATAGTAGCCTGGATTGCATCTAACGCTAAACATAGCAAGAGCTACTCTAGCAATTCCTGATGTACTCATTTCAATCAACACTGAGACACAGGTGCTGGGATCACCCTCATCTGAGAGGGTGAAGGGACACAGAGAGATAAAGTAACTTGTTCAAAGTCCCAGTTTCTAAGAGGTAGAATTCAGGTTCAAACCCAGGCAGACTGACACCAGAACCTTGCTCTAACTACACTAGTTTTATTTCTCGGTATACTTGCTTTAGTAATCTTCGTGAGGAACTTAATTAAAATGGGTTGTAAAAATACTTACCACCACTGCTACGAATGGCTCCTGGAACTGCTGATTGAGCATCTGAGTACTAACATCAATCCCAGAAAGCCAGCAGCCATAGCCAGGGTGGCTATGATACCAGCCAATTGCATTTTCAAGGCGGCCAACCTAACAAATGAAGTGGGCAAGGGAGCTTGAGGTTCCTGTTTAATCTTAGAGATACTTATTTGTCTGTTTACATAGCATTACAGTAAAATAATAATGTGCAGATTAGTTCATAGAATACGCTGCTTTCAAGTAAAAAAAAATGTTTTGGATAATACATACCAAAACAAAAAATTAACAAGATACAAAGGTTATTGTCTTCTTCCTACCTCCTTCTCCTCAACTATCCAGTTTCTCAGCCCAGATGTTACTACTATACCCAACTGCTTACATACCTATCTCCCCGAGATATTCTTTGTATACATGTAGATTAATAGAAACACACACGATGGCATATACCACATACAGTGTTCTACACTTTGTTTTTGCACTTAAAATATTCTGGGGTTTGTTTCAAATCAGTAAATATATAACTACTTTTTTATTTTTATTTTTTTTAAAGGCTGGTTAGCAGTTCATTGTATGACTATACCATAATTTATTTAATCAGTTTTCTACTAAGCAACATTTAGGTTATTACTAAGGCTTTGGTTTTAAACACACATCTGATAATGAATGTGAGAATTAAAAAAAAATTTTTATTGAGATATAATTGACATATAACACTATATTATATTAGTTCAGGTGTACATCGTAATGATTCAATATGTATATACTACAGATGATCACAATAAGTGTTAATTAACAGCCATCACCACACATAGTTATAATTCTTTTCTTGTGATAAGAACTTTTAACATCTACTCTCTCCAGTGTGAGGACTTATTTTTAAAAAAATTAATGCTAATCTCATATACATTTTACATAGAAATTGTTGAAATAACTTAAAATATAAACTTTAAAGAGGACAGCTTTAAGTTTAGAAAGTCGACTCTTTAACTTGCAGTAACTGCACTTGAAGGAACAACATTTTTACCTGCTTGGCATTTTCGATATATGCGGCCATGTACTCATACGCAGCAGCCTGAGCATTTACTCGGGTTTCAGTGCCCTCTACAGGCAGAGCGAAACTGTCCGTAATGATCATCGTTTCACCATCCACCTTTCCCAGCATCAAGCCCATCACTTCCAAGTTGCCTCCTGATCTGGCGTGCATCACCATTTTCAGTAGAGCCAATGCTGAGATTTTGCAGTACTTAAAGTAATGGTGACTGCAAAACAAAAGCACAGTGTAATTAACTTTCTTATATAAAGTACAATTTCAAAAGAGTTTGTTTGAAGATATTGAGTAAGTATTGAAGAAATTTACAGTGATGGAAGGGGGAAAAAGTGCAAAATGTGGGAAAGAAAAAAGTAGTAGAAAAGGACAGAGTTTTTCTGCAGGGGGATGGAAATGATAAACATGTCACAGTCCGGACAAATATTTCCTCTTGGGGCCAAGGGAGGATATGAAATAGTTTTTTAGAATACATTACTCAAACAGAAAAGAGGTAACTACATGACCAGTTCAAAAGACCTTTTCCCCCATTAATTTTGGGATCAACAAGTCTCTGATTGTGATTCTAGTTGGATGGTTGTGCCTAACTATTCTCAGGCCTAACCTCTGGCCTCGTGGTTAAGAATGTGGGCTCTGACATCCGTTTACTTAGGTTGAATCCTTGCACTGCCAAGTTCTAACTGTGGCCTTGAAACCACTTAGTATCGGTGCCTCAGTTTCCTCATCTGTAAATAGGGATGTTTCATAGAGTTGTTAGGAGGAAATAAACTAAATGAAATAATGTATATAAAGTGCGTAGTTTAGTGCCTTAGTGCCTGACACATACGAAACTTGTCTCTGTGGTATCAGCCTCAAAATAAAAAATGTAGCCCTAATACCTTGAGTTCTTCAATAATCATTATTTCAGACTTTATCATCTATGGACACGACTAAACTACAGTGGGGCCTTGACTTACGAGTGTCCCGACTAACGAGTTTTTTGAGATACCAGCTGTCTCTCGGCTGATTTTTTGCTTTGAGATGACAGAGTAATTTGAGTTAACGAGCTCCTTATTAACTAGCTCCTTAACGAGCTCGGCCTCGGAACGAATTAAACTCGTAAGTCAAGGCCCCACTGTACTCTTGAATAAAATTACATTTGCCATCTCACTGATGTAGCCCAAGACAGTTAAGATGAATACAATGAGAGCCAAAATCAGGCAGTGAGGCAAGATGATAGTTTCCAAATATTTAATAGGCTGCATCAACCTAAAATGCATAGCCTGCTATAGAAGCAGGCAGACCACCAGGCAAACTAACCAGTCTGTAGAGAGTGGTCAGTCAGTGTCTCTGAGAAGCCTTTTTAAGACGTCTGCCCACAGATTTCAATCAGAAATGGAAGACATGGAGACCTGGTCTTGGGAGTCAAGACATGAATTACAATCTGGGCTCCTGCATTTACTGGGAACAAGAAAAACCAACAAGTTATTGAAATAAGTTACTGTATTTGCCTGGGTTGTCATGAGGATTAAATGACACATGAGGTTTTTAGCTCAGTGCTCAGCCCCTATTCAGTACTCGATGAACGTTGCTGGATTTGAATACTGACAGTTGTAAAAAACTGCGAGGCAGTTGAAGTATGGTTTCTATTGTTGACCACGGCTCTTCCTTTTACCTCTCCGTTAGAGAGACTGCGCTTTTCACTCCCTTCTGAACCAGTTCTGCTCTCAGGTAGAGAATCCTCCACTTGCCACCATTCCCAGGGACACGGGGGCCTTTCGCTCTATCGATCTCCTGTCTAGTGCATGTGGACCGATGGAGTAACAGTAGCCTGGGCAGGTCTCGTGTGTTTCTGAAATCACTATCAGCAATGGCAGAACCCTAACAAGCGGCTCCTGAGCCCCCCGGGGCCGGCTCCACTCCTGCCGGCAGCTGGGTCTCCAGCCCGGGGTCAAGTGAAGGGCCCCACAAGGTGCATATCGACATCAGGTTCAAGGCAGCGTGTGTGGCATGTAGCACAACAGGGATGTTGAGAAGGGACACCCCGAATCACCATTTGTTTTCCTTTTCCGCCCTCCAGAGGCAAACATGTTAAAGCAGCAGAAAGGGGGGGGGAGGGGGCGAAGAAAGCCCCGACGGAGGGGCTGAGGCTCTACCTGGGGGTGTGAAAGGCCGACGTTCCCAGGTGCACATTCACTCTCCTCCCTGGTCCCGAAAACTCAAGCTCCCCCACCCGTCAGCCCCCCACTCTTCGCTGGGGTCTCCCCAGACGCCCCGCTCCCCCGCCCCCTCCCCCTGCGTCTTCGCCCAGGGAACCCCCTCACTCCCTTAGTCCAGGGCTTCGCCCGCCCAGGATTTTCTTGCTGCTGTTTTTTTGTCGTATTTTGTAGATTTCGTCGATGCTCTGGGCTTCCTGCATGTTGTTGACCAATTCCCAGGTTTTCTGGGCCATACCGCTCCCGGACGCCGCCATCTCCGGGCACGCGAGACGCTGTCGCCTCCTCAATCAAGGCACAGCTTTACCTCGCGGGGTTTCTCAGGCGTGGGCTTCGGCCCCGCACAACCGGCGCAAACTCGTCCTAGCCTCTCGGGGCAGCCATGACACCTAGAACCGGAAGTGAGGTTGGAGCAGACCATTCGGGGGTGGCGGGGTCCTGCGGGGACGCGACGATCTAAACAGCACTTACAGAATAGCTAAGGGGCAGAGGAACCTTCTAGTCACTAGAATCTAGTGGCTGAGGAAAGCACACGTTACCTTGGAAAATGACGCGTGTGAATTAGGACAAACAATGATTAGGTCTGAGAATGGTACAGCCTTCCGCGCCGGAAGAAGGGCAGGCTTCGCGTGATGCCCAACTCGGGCTTGGCCTCCTTTGTTCGTACTGCGCAGGCGCAGCCTCCGCCGTCTCAACCCCGCCAGATCCTCCAGCTCGGGCGGAGGGAAAAAACTGTTGTTTTTATTTATGTGGGGGTAGGCAACCTTTCATGAAATAAGTTTGCTGAAAGACTAAAAATTAAAGATGTCTGCGGAAGAACGGGCAAGTGAGTAGTCCCGGATGCCGGCTGAAAGATAAACATGGCATCCTCCCTAACTTACCTCCAGACGAACCGCCGCGCAGACGTCACGCCCTAGGGGCTCGCGGGGGAGCGGCGCCGCGTCTCTCCAGCTTTCCCTCGAGGCCGCGGACGCTCGTGGACGGGCTCACACGTATATGACTTATTGGTGTTGTGAAAATGCCCAGTGTCCGGTTCTCATAGTCGCTTACAGTGTAATTCTCAGCATTGCTCCGTGAAACCACCTGTCCCCGAGGCCGAAGTAATCTCAACGGCAGCCCATTTTCTTCCAACAGGTGTTTACATATTTTTTTGCTTGTTTGACGTATCCTTCCTTCCCTTCCCTCCCCCAGTCCGCACTGGACTCTGAGTCCTAAGTCACAGGCCACTAGGCTTGTGTTCCTTCTTTTATCCCTAACATCGAGGTGTTGGAGAAATATTTTTGCTGGGGGAGAGGCGGGAGGAGGATAACGTCATACATAGCTCACCTCCCCAGCTTCGTCTTTCTTTCGTCACCCTCGAAATTTTGCATATATGGTTAGCATTGCCTAAAATGCACGCCCCTGACTTTCCTACCTGGGAGCGCCTATTACTCTTTAAAAAGGCAGCTCAGAGATCTCTACCGCGGTCTTCCTTCCTCCTCTCTCCGGTAATCGTTCCTCCACAGTGTCTAGGTCAGTGGTTCTCAACGTTGGCTGCACATTTGAATCACCTGGGAATCTTTTTAAAATCCTGATTTCTGGGCCTCATCCTCCGGAAATTCTGTTTCTTTGTTATGGGGTGAGGCCACAACATTAGTAACAAAAAAAAAAACACACAGAATTTCCGGAGGATGAGGCCCAGAAATCAGGATTTTAAAAAGATTCCCAGGTGATTCTAATGTGCAGCCAAGGTTGAGAACCACTGCTCTAGGTGCTTCTGTAACTGCTACATTGCATCGTAATGTATTGCTTACTTCCAAGTTTCAGAGTGCAGGACACTCCACTCCGAATAGTGTGTGGCATATAGTTAAAGTAAAAACATTCAAATGATCGAATTCGCACCCTGCCTGCGGCTTTGATAAACTTCGAATTAAAGAAAATTTGCCTTTAAAACCCTGTTACAAAGTAGGTAGGATAAAGGACTCTTAGTTGTGCTTTTCGAGTAAGCGAGAGAGAGAGAGAGATCTTTTCTAGCGGTAGCATATGGCCACTCGGTATAGGGGTGAACTGAGTATGTTGAAATTGGTAGTAAAAGCCCCAGGACGGAACGTCGACCAAACTCCGGGGAGAAGAGTAATGAATGCCCCGGAGAGGTCTGCCAACCATTTTGCTCTCACTGCCACCCCTCTCCTTCTTACCAGGCTTTGCTGCCTCTGTCCCCAGGCCAGCTGGGACTCGGGGGTTTGGAGGGGCTGGGACCGCTGTCGCCGGGGAAATGGCTCCCGCGGTTTAACGGCCTCCAGGCCGAGGCCGCGCACCGGCCCAGGTGTGCGACCGCTCTGGAACCGCCGGGCAGCTGTGCGGCCTCCGGGCCGGTGGGGGGCGCCCGCAGCCACGTGCCTTCCTCCCGTGTCCCCCGTGGGGGCGGGGCCGCGCTCGGCGGTTGGCCAAAGGCGGGCGGAGGGCTCGGTCTGAGAGGCGGAGCCCGCGACAGGCGGTCGCCGCCGCCTCCTATCGCGAAGGTCCTCGCCGGAGCGCTGTGCGTCGCCGCGGACGCGATCCCGCTCTCCCGAGTAAGCCGGCCACGGGCCGGGAACGGGCCTGCGGGGTCTGGCGGGAGGGGGTGTCCCCGGACGGGAGCTCCGGGGACCGAGGTCTCGCGGGGGCCAGGGTAGCGGCGGTGTCGGGGTTACGGGGGTTGGTGGGCCGGGTTCCCTACGGGGATGGGTGTGTGGGGGTAAGTCTTGGGTTCGGGGGTCTCGCCGCAGGGCCGGGGTTAGTGCCTGGCTCCCGGGTTAGGGGTTCCCTGTGGGTGGGGGTCCCTGTGAGTGGGGAGCCGGGGCGGCGCCCTGGTTCCGCGGTCAGGGCTCGCGGGGCCGCTACTGGCGCCGGCGGTGCCTTGGAGACCTGGTTGCCTGACAACGCGCTGACGCTTCCTGAGGCGGCCGCCACCCACGGCGCCCAGAGCGCGGCTGTGCGGTGGCTCCCGGGCGCCCGCCGTCCGTGCCCTCCAGCCGGGCCCACCGTTCCGCTGAGCCGGCCCCAGCGCCTTCCCGCTCCCCCGGTGCTGGTTAAATGTTAACGGGCATGGCGTCCTTGCGCGCCCGGCGCTGCTCCCTGAGCATTGCTCTGCAAGTAAAATTTAATCACCGCCCTGTGAGGTCCTGGGCCCACCTGGCTCCTTGAGTTTGAACCTCTTCCAGCTGCCTTGATTTTAGGATTGTTATCTGGGATTGGGATCCGCTTTTCAGTGGTAGCCACCGGACTCATCTTTCGAGAGAGGCTGGTTCTCAAAATTACAGGGTTAAGAAGTTTAGCTTGGACTTCCGAGAAGACTAAATTCTAAAGTGCAATACCTAGTTTACAAACACCTCGGAATGCAAGAGCCAAATAGCAACCGCCATGAGTTTGTAAAAAGAAGCTATCCTCAGAGAGGCCCTATGTTAAACGAAAGACTGGCTTGTCATGTTGACAAGCTTAAAAGGGATCCCATGGAAACCAGTAAGATGCTGGTGTTTTTCCTTGCATATCATCCTCCTTAGAAGGACACTGACTTTCTGGTGGTTAAATATCTGCCAAAATGGCTCCCCAGGGATGACATTTTGGGTCTCCTCGTACAGGTGACCTGGAAGGGAGCAGGTTCTGTTTGGGGGAAACGAAACAGTAAGCTTTCAGTACAGTTTTTCTCAAGTGAAGTTTTCAGACAAATGTGATGTAACTTTTATAAACGTTGGGAACATTTCGGCTTACCTTTTTATCATCATTCTGACTGCTTTCCCGAGTGTGAGACACAGGTGCCAAGTGTTTTGGCAATTTTGCATTACCCAAAGGCCATCTAATTTATGTATCTGTCCTTGGTCATCATCAATGATTTATTCTTAACAGCAGCTAACAGACCCAATATTGCTTTTATATAGGCAGTGGTTCTCAACCTTCTGGCCCTTTAAATACAGTTCCTCATGTTGTGACCCAACCATAAAATTATTTTCGTTGCTACTTCATAACTGTAATGTTGCTACTGTTATGAATCATAATGTTAATATCTGGTGTGCAGGATGGTCTTAGGTGACCCCCGTGAAAGGGTTGTTCGACCGCCAAAGGGGTCTCGACCTACAGATTGAGAACCGCTGAGATAGAGGTTCGGTTCCAGACCATCACAGCAAAGCTAGTCCTAATCCCTTTTGCAGGTGGAAGGTCTTGCCTTCAATTTGTAAAAAACGCAACATCTGTGAAGTGCAATAAAGCTAGAAGCACAGTTCAACCAGGTATGCCTGTATTCACTCTCTTTGTATCCTGACCCTGAACCTCCCTTTGTCCCAGCAACATGGTGTTTACTTCTTAGTAACATTTAGGGGGATTTGTCAAAATTTGGGTGTGCCCATGGAAGTAAGTTGTGCATCTGCCAGGAGAAAGAGATTCACCTTTCGTTTGGTGAAAAGATCTCTGGATTGGGGGTGGGGGTGGGGTGAGAAACACTGTCTTAGATCACCTTATCCCTCCCCCTCTTTCTTCTGAGGCTTTCATGGACTCCTCCCCGCACCCCACACCCATATGTTCTCCCTGCTATTCTGTCCTCAGTCCTGTTCTCCCACGCTAGGCTCTCTTTTTCCAGGCACCCTCTTCTCCTATAGTTTTAATGGTTATTTTAAAAACTGTACATCTTTTAGCCTGGGCTCTATTCTGAATTCCAGACATATTCAAAT